ACTATAGGTATAGTTGGCATGCCAAGGGTAGAGGGTATACTCGGTTCTTTAGGACATATGTATATCCTTTGGAACCTGTGTGAAGTCTTGAAAGACACATACTTGATCCATAGTATATGTATATGATTCTTAAGGAATTCTATGTGGTCCTTATGGACATCATTATATGGCACTACGGTGCAATTCTACGGGCACTTCGGTGCAATTCTACGGGCACTTCGGTGCAATTCTACGGGGCACTTCGGTGCATTTATACGAGCTGTGGTGACAGCATAGTGCACAACCTCACATTACTCAAATACCTTAGGTTCTCAATATGCTATCATGGGCCAATAAACTTATTAATACAGATTCATGAATATTACAGTCATATGCTTACAGGTATGGATATTGATGAAGTATACTACATTGATTAAGTACATGTTTGCATCTCATCTCATATGATCCTGACATTTTCATTACATTACATTGCCTTGTTATTATTATTGCCTCACTAAGTCGATGACTTAGCGTGTGAGTGTTTCACACGTAGGATCCGAGGAATTAGACGAGACAGGTGAAGCAGCTTGACAGTATTACTCCTGCAACCATCAGATCAGAAGCAACTTAATCAGTAGGTCATTTTGTGATGTAAATAGCAGTTGGCATGTAATTAAAGGGTTAAGTTGTGTATGCTCTGAATATTTTGGTAAACTTATATTACAGTATGTATATTATGGTATTTTCTTAATACAAGTACAAATATTTTACTATTATTTATTAAGAGTTGTGTTTTAAAGTCAATGTAGTATCTCTGACTCATATCCGGGTCGGGTATGGGTTGGGGGTGTTACAATAAGCCGTTTTTCCGGTAGCATAGCTTAGATCGAGAAAAGGTATCTGTCAGCGAAGATCTTTCGAGTTCGGTTTCATTCAGCTCGAGGGCCTATCAACCACATGGTGGAGTCAAATAAATATTTTTCCAGTCGAATTTTCAAACCAAGGTCTTTAAACAGAGGAAAAGACCGAGGCGAACTACAACGAAAAGCCACATTCCGATTCAAATTTCGGACTACGGCTTCATGTCATTTCGAGATGGACTCGACTTCGTGACAGAGGAGCCATCCGCAACTCAATTTGACAGGGAGTTATTCTTCAACTCCACCGAACGAAAATTTGTGTCTTTTTATCTTTGTCCTATTTTTCGTTCCACGAAAAAGGACAAAGAGGGGCAGCTGTAGACACTCATTTTCGTCCATATTTTTTTATTATATAGTTTCTTAAAAACATTTTGAAAATACGTATAATATATAGTTTTTAAAAAACATTTTAGAAATTTATATATTATATGTTTTTGAAAATATTTTTATATATAAGTATATTATTATTATTATTTTATTAATTTATATATTATAATTATTTTACAGGCCTCGGTATATTTGAATGTGTGGCAACCCGAGGTTGTGCGTGGATAGTACAATAACCGATCAGGATTGAGTCATCAAGTCCGGGGGAACTCAAGGCTGAAGATCACCCACCTAGGCGAAAACTCAATAACTTTTAATGGATAACTCAAGAAGCCACGTTCCCTTTGCGCAACGGGATTTCTTTCCTGTCATGCAAGGACACGTCCCAAAATGGTGCCATGCATGAGGGACCCACGATGAATGGTTACAGGTTAATGAGTCTCTGAATGCTTGGAAAAAAAGGAGTTGGCTCCTAGTTTGTAGGAGAACGTTACTTGCAGTTGAAGACCACGATCCCGAGAATTCTTCTTCTCGTAGCCTTTTTATTTGTTTAAAATCTCCAAACATCGAGAGGAAAAAGGGGGGACGTGAATATTAACTTCTTTCTCTCTTTGATTGTAAAAGGCTCTTAGCTTTTAATATCTGAAATGGTCGGGGTCGATGAAAGCGGTGGAAGCGAGAGCGAAGATCAAAGCACCGATTGAAAGATAAGGACGCGGTTTTAGAGGAAGAAAACTGGAAGGGGGCCGATCAAACCGTCGTATGATCAACATATTTCCCGATGGAGTTAGCTCGATCCGCGTATCGGAAGAGAACAATGGCACCGCTCTCATCAAACACCCTCAACACTGCTCGGTCATAACTCGACGACAAAGTTCCCCTTCGACCAGCTTCAACGACTGCCCAAGAAGTCTAAACGAGACACAGAAGCCTCAAAATCTCATTCTCCTTTCTTAGCCCCAACATGCCTCGATCCCTACTACTCACTCGTCGATAAAGTCAGCTTTGATGTGGGATCCAGACCACACTGGTAACATTTCTAATTTTGTTTTGCATGGATGCTGATCTGGATTTTATGACCTCGGTTGTTGGAATTCTCTAGAAACAGTTGAGCAAGAGAACGAACCTGATTTATTTTATGATGTTAAGTATTCCCTGCGCCTTTGCCTCAAGGAAAAATGGATGTGTGCCTGTGTTCATATATATAGCATGATGGCAATATATGAGGAAGATGTTGCTCTTGCTCTGTAGAATAAATGTTTGCAGATTAAACATGTTATTTATCCATGTGGCGTATAATGGTGATTGATCCAGAGCTAGTAATGATGATAGAGACTTGAGAAAGAAGCTTTTGACTAATGGTTGCCAAGCATGTCATTGAACAGAAAAAGAGCACTAACAAGGGAATGTTTTAAATTGAATTGCAAATGCAAAGGCTCCTGTACACGTGAAATAAAACAAAACCCCATGTGACCAAGGATTTGGGTAAATTCTCCATATGGTCCTTCAATCATTATGTTTTTATTTTATTTTATTACTTTTATTTATTTTATTTTTTATGTTATTTTATTTTTTCCCTTTTATTTTTTTAATATTTATTTAATACTTCTTATCAAATATTTTCGACATTTTTAGAAGAATTTCAACCAATCAAAGATAAGTAATTGGAATCGGGTTTTTAATTTGTAATTTTTAATTTTCGCAATTAAGACAACCGACAAATTAATTGGTACCGAAAGGACGGTTCAAGGGTGCTAATCCTTCTTTGACCGTAACCGACTCCCGAGCCCGACATATTTCTGGTAAGACGCAGATCAGGTAAGAAATAGGGTATCCGATCAACCCATTTATTTTTAAATAAATGATTGGTGGCGACTCCAATCCATTTTCCTAAGTCGAAGCCCAATTCCGGGGCCCAACCCGAAAGACGGTTGCGACACCTTGGAGTAACCACACCTACCCTACAAAAATCATGGATAAAACTTATCAGCATATTCTAGAGCTCACGGCTATTAACCTTGTGGTCGTGGGATCGATTCCTACGGTGGACAATTCATAATTGCCGGAGGTTTTCTACGGAAGTTGCTCTCGACCTAGCGTTGGCATTACATATGGGAATAGGGTCAGCTAAATATATAGAGATGAACACTAATTTTTGCATATCCTTCATTTTCGAACTTAGTCGAGACTATTACTACCATTGTCGAGATTATAACTTCAACCTCGATCTCATTTGTGCTTCTTCAACTACTATAATTGATCAAAGCTGTAAAAAAATCTGTCATTTCTGTCATAACCATCCAATCCATTGACACCGTTCAACTATAGTAAAGTCGACAAAAATCACTATAGTTGATTTTGGTGTAAGAAGCTTCGGTCAGGAATCTCCTATGATTGTTTAGTTGTCATTTAAAAGAGCTCTTCGTCCATAAAACTTGTTTGATCAATTTATCCACCCAAATTTCGAAACATCCTTTTCATCCATACCACCCACTTCAAATAAATCTCTCTTCCGGTCACGGTTGGGAGAGAGATGACGTTTCGGTGTCCATGAACAGAAAATATGGCAAGTTTATGAATTTGGGAAGGATGAGCTTGAAGAAATGGTGAGTTGAAGAAGAAGAGGAGGAGGAGGTGAGGGCATGTCAAAGTGGTGTCACGTGGTCAAAAAAGTTAGATTAACATCTCACATCAGAATTCCGTTATTGGAGTTATAGTGTGAACGGTTGAGGGACTAATTTATTATAAATAGATAATATTAGTAATTAATTTTTTATTTTTGAAACTTCAGTAGAGAAAATAAAAATTAACGCAAACGTTAATGACCAATTGTGTAGTTTATTCTTTTATAATTAATCTCATCATCGTGTCTAATTTTTATTTTTTCAAAATCAATCTCATGAACATCCAAATTAACCAATTAGTCTACATAATTCGGTAATAACTAACAGTGTTGAAATTTAGCATGCTATAATTTTCTCGGCAACCAAACAAAGTATTAGGAAAGGAAAAATCATGGGGCATTGACTTGACCCATAAAGAGTGTAGATCCCATTTTCTTCCTTTATTTTGGCCTTCATTCTTCTCCTTGCTTGCCATATTCTTTCCTTACAGTTTCCCTCAAACCCAGATTTCACCATCAATGACCCTTCTTTATTGACCTGTTTTAACGTCCCATAGTAAATAAAGTAAGAAACTTTGATTATATAATCCCATATTTTCATTATTGATTTCTCAGTTCACATTTAGATATGGCAAAACTTAGGGTTACATTCACCCGGGCAGGCTCAAACAAGGTACCCATCACCTCATTCAATCTCAAATTTATGTTTTGTTTAGCATTTGAGGTTTAGGGTTCTTCAATTCTTAATGTTTTCCTTCTGGTTTTTTTTGTTAAAACCTGTACTTTTGGGACATATGGGTCATTTCATGTTCGAACGCATAATTATATGTTAGTCGTAAGCTGGTGTGAAGTTAGGATTTTATATTAGATATTTACGAGTGCATACGAAATTAAATTATTATTAGAAAATATAAAGATAATATTTAAACTATATAAGTAATTGAAATCTATAGAGTGTAATCGCACCCAGCACTTCTCGGTTTATTCTTAGGTCACTTTTGTTTTGGTATGATCCAATGGAAATGTGAACCAAGTAAGAAAAAAGAACATAATTTACTCTTGTTAGGTGGTGAAGAAGGGAGATGATGCCATTGCTGGCCATGGAAGAATGAAATGGAACAAAAGATTCTTACATGACAAACCCTGGAGAAATGTTGGTAACAAAAGGTTTGTTCTTGTCTGGTTTCTAGTTATTGTTTGAAGTTTTAGGTGTATTTGTTTGCTTTGTAAACAACAATTGATCTTTGCAACTGACTTTAGTTTGCATCAAGATCGCATTTTGGGTATGGTTAGTTTCATCATATGCTTGTATCGTTTAGTTTCAGAAGCTTAATGAAGATTCAATTTGAATATTTAGTTTTATGACAGTTGTTTTTGGTGTTATTTCCACAGGCATCGAACTGATGGTGCCGAACGGAGATCAAACGGCATTAGAGGACAAGGATGTAGCTAATTGCTATTGCTATATTCAATTAGGTTATTTATATATGCAAGTTTTTTCTTTGGTTGTTGATGGATTATGGTGTTGTGATATGACTGAAGTTTCTCGGATCGCGCCTGGAAAAGACCTGCGGTTTAAACTGATGCGCAAACACGGAATAGGACCGAACAAAATCTGCAATCGGACTGGAATCACTCGCAATAGCATTGCAGGTGGCTTGCATGTATACTCTATACAAACTGCAGAAGAATCCAGAGCCCAGAGGTGATACCTCAAACAATACCAACTGCACTTGCAAGGAACGATCCAGCTTCGAGCACTATAGTTTTAGACCCTTCAATGGAGTCCGGTCCGGTGCCTGATATAGAGAAAGCTATAATTTCCCGGCCAGTCACGTATGTAGCACCAATGAGCAGCATCCTGCAGATAAAGCCACATTTTGTATGTTTTCTTGCTTGCAATAGCTTCATTTTCTTCAGATAGTGGATGCATTTTCTTAGCCTAAATTTCCCTTGTAAATATTGCCAAGACCGGACTCGGATGTGAGTGTCAAATATAGGTGTCAAACACGGTTACTTTAATAAAAATGAATAGGCAAAGTGTCATCGCTTTGATCTAGTTTATTGGAATTTCACAGGATGAAGAACCTTTCACTGTTTCTACCTTGTTGAACACACTTGGTTTGGGGAAATACGCCGTTCATTTTATGGCTGAAGAAGTAAGTGACTCGGTTTTACTGACTGTCTCAAATGAATGATGCCTCCGAAAGTAGGCAGAAATCAAGTTGCATCTTGTGTCTGCTATGTGTACTTATCTCCGAGCATGTTAAGTTCTGGTTTCTTCCGCATTTTCGGATCATTGCATCTGTTTTCTTTTAACGTATACTTATTTGATGCTTGATGCGTGCGGTTGCAGGTGGATATGACTGCATTAAGGCAAATGGGAGACAGGGACCTCAAAGAGCTCGGCATTCCAATGGTATCGTCGATGCATACTTTCATTCTTGCTCAGTCTATAACACCATACCAACCATCATCGATCTTCTCGTAACTTCTTCCCCATTATGTGCTTAGTTTCAATTTATTCATCAAGTTTCCTACATCAGTGCATTACTTATCGGAATATATAAGTAAACGATGACATTTAACTGCTGGCGCTGCTTGTCGGACGCTGGATAAACTAGAAACAGTCAGATACATTAACATATATATAAACTTTGAATACAATCTTAAGGCCTTGGATGGTACTGTCTGATATTAGATTAGACAGGATATACAGCTGTAAAAGTTTTGAAATTTTTCGGGGAGCAACGAGTCGTAAATATGCTGTTATTAGAGGACCTTTTCGATAAAATCCCATCGTATGAACTGTTAAACAAATCATTTTCATTGCAATCATGGATTCTAGAAGTAGAAATTGTTTGTTTTGATGAAGTATTTGGTTGGTTTTCCAGGGACCAAGGAAGAAACTTCTGCTAGCTCTTAGGCCCTATTCAAGGAGGCATCTTCCACGCATCATTAGACTTTAATTTGATGTATTTAACTGATGGAGTTTTCAAATATATATATACACAAATATATATACACACGAATATATATATATATATTATTTTTTTTAAATTTGACATTCGTGTTTGACACAATTTTTTATTAATCTAGGGTAAGTATAATGTAGTATATGTTCAAAGATAACTTTCAACCATTTAATATTCAACACTTGCATTTCTGACATGCATAATATTCGAACCCGAGACATCAATGAATAACAACAGTGATATAATATGTTAATTTGTTTTAGCTTTATACATTATATATTTTTTTGGTTGCTCTCCTGATTGTTTAAGGCTTTGTTCTGACTAATTCATGCCGACCCGTGTTGTATACATGATTTTGATTGATGAGTCTCCCAGCGAATTCTGCATACACATGGTCTTAAATCTGTTTAAGTGATATCAAACTACTTATCTATTGAACCGATACCGTTGATAGTTTTATACATTATGTTGATTATTTCATATAAAAGTCGCATACATAATAATATAATGCAAGTGTTAGAAAATATATTAAAGTTATTTACATTTAAAAATTTAATAAATTAATAAAAAAATTTAAAAAAATATAATTACAGTAATATTAATTATAATAGTGGGTTTCAGTTAGGCCCATTAATTTTGTTTGTTGGGATATAAAATTTGGTTTAACACACGAACTGTTCTACTCAGTGACTCAGGGTTGAGTCATGATGACTTTTAAACAGGTGGAAGAGAATATCATCGTCCGACTTTGGCCGATTGGTTAAGGCGTGTGCCTACCAAATTCTTGGTGTTTTCACGTGAGAGTTCGAATCTCTCAGGCGGTGTTTAAATTATGTGTCGACTCATTCTAGTTTTCAGTTTTTACATTGAATTAGAGTTTTGACTCATCTATTTCATCATCCCTGAAATCAAGACCTTTAAACCCTAATTACCCCAACGAAGATTTTCAGCCTCATGTAAATGCTAAGGAGTGACCGGACTCGGCATCACTCGTCTTAGGCATTGAGGTTTTCTTATATAGAAAATTCCATTTTATACTTTCACATCTATTTGTTTGAATTTATTTATCATTAACGATGATTATTTTGTAATTTATTCGCATATAAACAGGTTCGTCTATGTATAGGTGTGACCTATGATACATCACATGTCCCCAAAATTTAAAAGCTCCACGCATGAATACCATTTAAACTTGTCTATGTGCAACTTTTGTACCCTAATGCCATTTTCGTTCGATAGAAAAACAAACTTTCCGTTTGGTTCTTGAGAAACTAGCAGCAGAAAGTTACAAACAAAAAATTTGACAGTATCTTTAATTGTTTTCCATAATGAATTTTTGATAAAAAGATCTCATAAATCTCTCATAATTTCAAAATTGATAAATTAATTATTATTATAAAATATTTTAGAGGCTTCATTTTAAAGAGTAACATATATACACACGTCATTTGAAACGAACCTTATATACTTATATTAATTAAACAATATTAGACATAACATGAAAAATATACCGATAGATATGTTATTGTATTAATAATGTATGCATTTGATTTTTAGATATTATTTAATATTTCAATAATATTAAATAATATGTATATTTTCTAAATTAATATTAAAGGTTAATTTTATTTACAAATTATAGTAAAAACAATTTAGTAAAATGTACTTTTGAATAATCTTATATTCTCTCAACAAGAGATTATTATTTTACATTATGAATAAATAAATTAAATAAGGTGATGTACTATTTCGAATAATATACTTAATAAATTTACATTCCGATATTTCTATACATAATGTACTCATACATACACACAATGTTGCCTACCTATCCGCTTGATTTGGTCCGTGTCTATGTTAACATGTACATTTGACACGAAGCCAACATATTTCTTTTTTAAGTATTGTTCGTGTAATTTTTTTTAAATATCTTTAATTAACAAATTTATTTAAATATCTTTAAATAACAAATTTATTTCATCGATGAGTACGGAATTACTTTTAAAATAATATTTTTTTATCACTACACAAAAATATTTTATCTCTTAATAATTATAGATTGGTCCTTAGACTTTTAGATATTCCAATTTCATCCTAAACTATGATTAGTCCTCAAATTTTGAACATTTCAATTTCATCCCCAAACTATGACATTCATTCTAAATTGGTCCCTAAACTCTTTTAACATTCCAATTTCATCCCAAGCTATACACATATACTAATTACATCCCTTGTTAATAAAATCATTAGGCCAAGTTATATTATTGTATGTTTGAGGGGGAAAACAAATTTTAGGTTAAACTATGGTTGAAACTAATTACACATTTGGATGAATTTGGGGATGAAATTGGATTATTTAAAAGTTTGGGGCCAATTTATAAAGAGAGTCATAGTTTATGGATGAAATTAGAATATTCAAAAGGTTAAGGACCAATATAAAATAAAGGTTATAATTTGGGACATACGATGCAATTAACTCTTTTTATCACGATAAAAAAAAACTCTCTTTATTCATACACAGTTAACTTGTAGAAGTATACAATAAACTCAGTTTTTAATCTCTTAATAACTCAAGACATCATTGTTTCTCTCTCTCTCTAGCTGTTTGATGTCCAGCTTTCATCCATGGAAATCAATCCAAACTCTGTATATTCACTAAAAAAACATTATAATTTGACGAAGAAGAAGAAGAAAGAATTAAAACCTCTTCTTTTAACTTATCTGTTCACCAATCAAATCCAATCCCACTACTAGAAATGTCAATCCTTGAAACAACAGGAAGTAGAAATGAACTCCATGTGCAGACAATAAGCTTCTTGCTGCTGCTGTTAGTAGGAGAAGAGCCAATGCAAGTTCTTTCCTGTACAGCTTGTTTCTCTTCTTCGATGGGGCGATTTCCTCTCGTTGTTTGAGTTTATTCAGCGTCTCTAGCCCCGACTCGGAGTGTCTCCTTGTGATCTTCTCTTCGTTCGATGATTTCGATTCCCTCTCCACTAAGGCCACCAAGTCGGATTCCGATGATCGGCCTGTTTTCTTCGTTACTACCCATTCGTAGGCGCTTCCGAGCTGGAACAGTCCCGAGATCATGGCGTTGAATTTCGTTACCGACATTGTGTTTTCGAAGAGAAGGTATGGGACCAGGAACGGGAATGATTTTGGGGCCGGGAGGATGTTTAGGAGTGACATGAAAATCGGGACGTAACAGATGACCCATAGGGGAAGTTCTGCTTCAGGGATGAACATTGTCAAAGGAAGTATGACGCAGAACAATGTGAAGGAGTAGAATGGAAGTACGAGCTTCCTCAGTAGGAAAAACAGGAAAATCAAGTTGGCCTTCTTTGATATCGATATCTGCATCGATGAACACAAATCGTTATAATCGAATCACACGTGCATTTAACGGATTAGGATCGGGAAGTAGTCGAACCTTGGATCTCATGATGGCCGGGAGACATAATCGGAACAACTGCATTGGACCCGAATGCCAACGGTGCTGTTGTTTCTTGTAGGCTTCATAAGACTCGGGCAATTCACAAAGCACTTTAACATCATTGAGGAAGATGAATTTCCATCCGTTTAAGTGCGCTCGGACCGCGATATCCATGTCCTCGACGGTTGTTCTCTCGAGCCATCCACCGGAGTCCTCCAAGGCCTTGATCCTCCACACCCCCGCCGTCCCGTTGAATCCAAAGAAGTTAAGGAAAGCGCCGTTAACTTGCTGCTCGACTTCAAAATGTCAGGAGTGTGAACGTTAAATATTAAATGATTGAGAGTTAATCTTTAAACAAATACTATATTGCATTTACCTCTATTAATACAATCAAAGTCGAGTTATTTTTTATATGTAAACAACTAATTTTATTAAAAATAGAAAATGCCCAAATTACAATAAATGTTTATAATCACAATAGTAAGTTAATACATAATAAAAATATTTTCATATAACAATTAACACAAGAAAATTAATCACTTAATATCACACGAGGACCATACAAGGAAATTTGTTAAAAACCTAATCAAATAAACTCGAATAAAAGGTAGATAAAAATATATCTGACTGTATCAATAAACGAATCATAAAAGAGGATCAAACTATTGAAAGATCATTGACAAACTGTAAATCAGAGTCGAGCAACGAGAAAAACTATTCACGAACACAACCCGCGTATCCAAAATTCAATTTGAGGATCCAAAGCAGAGAATATCAGCATGATAACAAATAAGTGTCATCTTGATCAGTCGTGAAGAAATCAAACCCAAACCTAGAAAAAATGATAACTAAAAACAACATTCAAGCGAAGGAAAATGTGTCATAAAGATAGAGAAAAACGTGCCATAAAGGGGATATTAAAAACTTAAAAACAGAAAAAAAGAAAAAGAAAATAAAGAAAAATAATTAATACTAACAGTTGAGACCAACACCAAGACTAATATCATCGCCGATCATATAGATAAAGAGAAAGACATACTAGTGACGGCTAAAAAAAAGAGAGAAAATCAGGGTAAATCCTTAAAAGAATAATAATATCTTGGATATTTATTATTTGAATAAATATTATTTATATGTACATATTTTTCGTATTCGAAATTAACTTTAGGTTTAATATTTTTATTTTTGTATAAGTTTTTTTTGTGAGTATTTTTCTTATTTTTCTCTTTATGTTTGAATGCATTGTAATTCTAATTTCTTCCATTATTTTTATTAATAAAATCTAATTGTCATCAGTTTTTTTTTTATAGATTTAGGATAGTTGGATGAGTGAAAATAGATAACTGAGAGTTACTCATTGTTTTTTCCGGTGAATATCTTATTATTTCTTACTGTTAATCTCAGTCATTTATTTTCACTCATCAAACGGTCATAAATTTATGTAAAACTCAAAAAAATTTATATTGTGTAATAAGATTTTATCCCAATAACTTCCCACACAATTTAGAATACTTTGAAATGAAAACTAATAGATAGGTAGGAAATTAAATACTTTTGTTGTAATTTAACCAATGATTAAGAAGTTTCCTTTTTGATCTATTGTAAAGGAAACATAATTTAAGTCGTTGACATATGTATTTTAATCAAAGTTTCACGCGGTATCATTGAGATCCACATTCATATTTCCATAAATAAATCCAACCCTACCCACATAGCTGTATACAGGCATGACTAAAAAATATAACTCTTATTTCATGAGTTTTAATTTTTATTTCAAATAGTCTCGATAATTATAAGATAATATATGTTATAATATTTCTCAATTATTAACAATATATATATATATATATATCCACATACACAGTTATTTAAACCTGAGATCACTAGAATAATTAATACTCTTTTTAACTACTAAAATTACTTGATGAGTTTTAATTAATTTTAATTTGATTTAATAAATATATTTTTTATATATAAATCTGACTCTATTCTTGTTAACGTAATTTTTAATTTTCACATAATTCTTTATCTAATAGCTTATATGTTTATTTTTACATATATTTTTATTAAAATTTAACAAATATATATATATATATATATATATAATTTTATAGAGTTTTACTTTGACTAATTCGGATTGACCCTTATCGCACACCTAATTTTAATACGTGAGTCTTTTATTAAAAATTTTATACTACATAAGAACTTATTTAAACGGCGTCAATATGTTTAACACTCAACAAAATCCTTTAATAAAAAAAAATTTCTCCATTGCTTTCCCACTAAAACTATCATGATTTGATTGATTGATTTGTTTTACCTGACACCGTAATCCTTAAATTCTCACCATTTAATGAAATATATATTAAACTTCACTAGCTATGCATGAACTGACATGCACCTGAATATTTTGTTATTCAATTTCAAAGCATGATTCCGATATTAAATGATCTAAAGTCAATTCAACACAACTCTTCTGCTATATGTTTCTCCTATTCTATGCCGCAACTTATGGTATGACTGTTAGAAAATACCAAGATATTATCGAAAAAGAAAAAATATTAATTTTTTTAAAAAAAATATTTGTACAAATTCTTTCAAATATATATTTCAGGAAAAAATATTAAGTTGAACGTTTCGAATAGAATCGTTCTTTAAATTTTTTATTTTATAATTAGACTTGAGTTGTCCAATTAAGAGATGTTATACAAATAGAAAGTGTTTTTTTCTAGATATTCATCAACTCCTTGAAGCTTTTTTAGCTGTAGATGTATTTAGGGATGGTCATAAGTTGGGTCAGTTTTTGTTGATCTGAGTATTATACCTTTCCATCCAACGTCCAATTCAATTTGGATTGGGGAAAACTCAATTCGGCTCGAATTTTAGAAAAAATCATTTTTATTGGATAAATAGAGAGCTAATTAAAAAAGGAAAGTGTAATAATCCAGAATTTTGAGTCAATGCTTGATAATTAATCTAAGATTTAGGGGTTATTTGTTTACTTCAGAATGATTAAGCGCTGAATGATTCAAATGCTGAATGATTCAAATGCTGAATGATTCAGAGGATCTGTATGAATTAGCTCTGTATGTGACATGTTGTTTGATAATGGCTCTGAATCATTCAGAATGTACTTTGATGCTGAATCATTCAGCATTGTTTTGCTGAATCAGTCAGCACTAAATCATTCAGAGGTGCGAAACAAACGCGCTGAATGCTGAACGGTTCAGCATTCAGCGCTGAATAGTTCCATTCAGAGCCAAACAAACAACCCCTTAGTTGAATAAATTAATTATAGTGTGGAGGTTCAATGGGTCGAATTTGAGTTTAATTGACTGAACATTTAACCTAATTTGATTTTTTTTAAATTGAGATTTGCTTGGAAAAGGAGGGACTTAATTCCTTCCTTCTTACATCTTTTTCCTTTCCATCCTCTGTCTCCATTATAGGTCCTTCGTCTTATTTCTTCTTCCAAGTAAAACAAAAGGGTAAAAGGTTCACATTTCTTCACATTCATCATCAAGTTAGAAAATCCAAGGTAAGTGTCATGATCTATAGATCATGAAGTTCATGAAAAATTTACGAACTTCTTCAATAGTGGTCTTGTAACACCTCAAATTTAATTAAAAGATTAAATGGAGAAGTATTAAAAATTTAAAGTCATTTAAAAGAAAATTGGGGACCAAATTACTAAATTTTAGATTATTTGGGGTCATTATGCAAACTCTAAATCATTTTAGGGACCTAACACCAATTTTACCCATCCATTCTAACTATAGAAAAAAATAGAAAGGAAAAAAAGGTGTGGTTATTAGGTGTTGAACCCATAACCTAAAGCATAGCCAACCATGCCTCTATCACTAAACTATGTTACTGTTTGAGTTTTAAATTAATAAATATGTTATTTGATCATATATGTACCATATTTAATTCCCAAAACAAAAACCCCATTCAGCTGAACCAAGCCCTCATCCGTTACCCCTCTCGTCGTTTACTCTCCGACCTCCAGTGACGAACACCACCACCACCGGTGTATGTGTCATCGACTCGCGACCAAAACTCAATCGGCCATATTCCAGGAAGCCCCGTAGTCTATCATAGAAAGCCCCACAAAGATTCGTCGGAGTTCAAGCTATCTCTTTTGGATTTCAACGTTTCCGACTAATCTCGGCTTCCGTTCACCACATCGTCACCTTCCATGTGCTCCCCGATATTTTGCGAATAAACCCCAACTGATGATGTCCCCTCGTCGTTGCTCCGACGTTGTTACTCGCCCGTCACCGTTGGAAAAAGTTCTATCATTTAGAAATTTCCAAACTCCGTCGTGCTTCATCGTAAAATAACATATGCACGAGACTCTCGAGGTGCCGATCTAAGAGACTGGAAAATTTCACGCCAAACTAAAAATCGGAGCCGCCGCACGCCCTGCTCCTTGCGCATGGGTGTCGTCTGTCAACCAGGGGTGTCTGTTGATCGACTCAATCGGTCTGAACTGATTGGACCAGTCTGGACCGAGCTGTGTGAGTCGAGCTGAGACATGTGAAGCCATTGGCCATGCGTTGACCGTTGACCAAGTGTTGATCGACCGTTGACCGATGTTAACGTTTTCTGGGAACACCTATCATGATGTTTTTTGACGTCTTGAGTCCGTTTTAGGTCCGTTTCGCCAAATTCAAACATGATAAGTTGTTTTTCACTGATTAACCTCCCGATTCGATCTATTTTTCGTAATTAAGTTTCGTTTATGATGTAATTTCTATTGATATGTATCTGTGATATTATTAAATGTTGCAGTCAAGTTTGAGTGCGATCAAATAGAATTTAAATGTTCGACCGGTGTAGCTAGGGATGGCAAAAAAACCCGAACCCGACGGGAAAAACCAAAAACCGAATTAAACGGGGACGGGGAAAACTGTTTATTCTAAACAGGGACGGGGATGGGGAAAACTATTTATGTTAAACGGGGACGGGTTTGGTAATCCCCGCCCCGATTACCCGGCCCAATACCCGTCCCGATAAATATTAAAAATAATTATTATATATATATATATATATATAATATTAATAAATTTAATTTAAATTAATATATATATATATATATAATATTTATATATTTAATTTATATATATATATACCCGGCCCGATACCAGTTTAAATAATCGTTTATGCTAAACGGGGATACCCGTTTCCCTGCGGTTTTCCCCGATTACCCGATGGGATCCCCGTTTAAATCCCTATGGTTTTTTAAGCGGGGACGGGTATGGGTTTTTTAAACGGAGACGGGGACGGGGGGGCCAATA